TCAAGATAGGTATTACACTATTTACATTGCTATTTGTACACATATGGACAGCGCAGTAAATGATATTAGAAAATGAAACTACCGAGCCGCTGCCCCCGAGGGGCCGGCCTCAGCATTCCCATCCGCCCTGTGATGCTTGTTCAAATGCACGGCGCCCAACTTCTATGACTTGAAAGCTTATCAGCGTGATTTCCTTAGACACTGGTACGTATTCCTTTTTTTGTAAGTCAGGATATTGGTATCCGAAGATCTGCGACTTGCCCTTATACCCTTGTCATTTCATTAATTATTCTACAAACCACAGATAACAGCGCTTGAACACACCGCGCCGTCCCTGCAGTCAATGTCGTCCTCTGCCGCAAGTCTTTTTGGCGGTCTTCATGGTCATCGAGTCAGTCATCTTCCTCTCCTCATCAGGGGCCATAGGGGAGCCGAGCTCTGCATGTGGTTAAAGTATCCTGCCATATGTATGTGTGCTCTGTGAAATCTAGTTCAATGGTGGTTATCGGATCATGCTGTAGTCAGGCGCTCTCCAGATGTTATGCGTGTATAGTAAGCTAGCGCTGAAAAATTTCGGGGGTCCTCATGTCTGCGGTGAGCAAGACGAACGCGTAGTGATCAGGAATGAACATGACTTCGGAAGGGGCTTGCAGAACTTGGTGGTTAGAGTTAGGTTATAAGACATCCACGCGGTTTACCTCAACCGCATCATTTCTGATCTCATTCAAAGAGTAGATCGATTGAAGCTCAGAATCAACTAGTGCACCTCAGGGGTGTTCAGATTAGCTTATTCTTGGGTTCGGATTGGAAGCACGAGCAATATCCTCTTGATGATAGGTTAGAGCTACCGTAACGGATAGATTGCAGTTTATAAATCGCATAGCCCTTGACAATTAGTACAATATGTTGATTTAGAACACGTAGCCACTCACTGTAGTACATGTACACAGATAATGCGGACAACGGCAGGAATAGAAATCAGCTCAATACATACTTGACAATATTTACCCCAATATTGAATCAAAATCGGCGAACTGCGATCAGATACAACGCGATCATACATATGCTAAATCTCATCTTTATGAGTATCTAATCTAAGTTGACGGTGAGCCAAGGCACAATAGTCAACTTCTCCTTGTCCCACTTTCGCGTGCGATTAGATTATTGGAGGGTGCGAACACGAAGCACGGCGACGACACTCACAATATTCTCCAGGTAGTAAATATCCGAGTATACGGCCTTCTTCACCGTTTCGATGTTATCAGCTTCGCAAACGAGTACAGACCCAATCAGCTTTTTCTCAGCAAGTGGCGCATCAACGGTATCGGGAGCCACCATAGGTCCCGCCGTCCCTTACGGTTAGATCAGTAAGCATGTCGAATGGAAATATGGGACCACCCAAGCTTACAGATTAAGCCCTGCTTGCGAAGTTCACGAGCACCCTCCAAATGCCGAGCGCGCATGGCTGTACGACGCTCGAACGTGTCAGGCTCTGAGGAGTCTGGTGCCCAAACGACAAACTTCTTGAGAGAGGGAGCGGCAGTAGAACTAGACATTGTGCGCGAGTGGCTCGGGGGAAGAGTTTGTAATGCCAGAGAAGTGAACAGTCTGCGTAAGGAGAGCATTAAAGCTCAGATATCTCCTCTAAGGCACTACTTAGTTGGGCCCTATAGCTAGTGACTAAACAGATGCGTTACCGTAAGTACAATGTCCCTTCAAATGACCGGCCGGGAAGCCCAGCCATTTGACTGTGTTTGAACGTAATTACATAATTAGCACAGCCATATGCATGTTGCCCACTCAAAGCCTCTGATCAAGGCTTGGTTTTGCGCGGTGAACAAGCAGACTATCGTATCCTGGGTAGTAAAAGTCCTTATGTAGGACTCTGAGCTACAAGAACCATGAAGGTGGATCTTTTATCGAGTCTTTACTGTGGTCCGAATGCAACTAGCATTCTCGACATCATAAAGAGATGGATTGTAATTGTAATTGACGCACAAACAGCGAACGGAAGAATCAGTCCACGCTCTGCATCCCGTCGCTGCAAACCACTCTTTTCGCTCTTTCAGCTCTTGTCTTCACCACATTCCTTTAACCCTCACTACTGCGCCGCTGCAGTCGACGAGTTCTTTAAGCTAGCAGGCTGGATCCGGCTCAAGTTTGCCACGTGTACTAATCTCGGCTTCGATACTAGTGGCAATTATGTTCCCAATCCTTCTTGTCGCTCTTTCCAGCTTCGTCGTCTGTAATGCCATCCCCCTGAGCCTTCAAGTTTCGCGTCGCAACCTTGTCGTACACGAATCTCGCGAGGATGCCCCGAGCGGTTTTGCGCTCAGCACACCTGCTTCGCCCGACTCGGTTCTGAGCTTGCGGTTAGCGCTAGTACAAAGCGATACCGACGGTCTTATCAGCGCACTGAATGATGTCAGTAATCCGTCTAGCGAAAACTACGGAAAATATCTGAGTAAAGATGAGGCGCGTATTCTTATTTCTCTACTGCCAGTCGAGTACTAAAATGCCATCGTTTTGCACTTATTCAGGTTGCGAACTTTGTTACACCATCAGCAGCCACTGTGTCTGCGGTGGTCGATTGGCTGACCGAGAACGAGTTAAATGCGACCGTCTTGTCGCCTGTGGGCGACTGGCTCTCACTCGACATCCCTGTAAACAAAGCAAACGAACTCCTCGCTGCCAACTACTCTGTTTATGTAAACGCGCAGACAGGGTTGCAGACCATCCGTACACTCTCTTATTCCATTCCTGAAGATCTGCAGGAACATCTCGCATTGGTTCACCCAACCGTCACGTATGTCGTCGATGACGAATGCAGTTGATAAACGAAGTTAATGTTGTATTCAGATTCCCTTCGAATAAACAGCACGCGCCGATCTTTCTAGCTTCACCTAAATCTGTAACGCGAGATGTACAGGACCTGGTCAACGCCACTGCCGTGTGCGGGTACGGCTTGGCCGCCTGGATGAATCCCGGCTGCCTGCAGTATTTATACAATATACCCATAAGCCCTGCCACGAACCCTCTGAACAAGATTGCCGTCACTGGGTATGATGAGGAGTATGCCCAGCAAGCAGATTTGGAGGTGCGGCGACTGGCAGCTCTCTCATACATATTCTCATATCATTCCATTCCAGAAATTCTTGGCCGACTACCGCCCAAACATAAGCTCGACTGCCAAATTCACCTTGGAGTCAGTAGAAGGCGGAGTAAATCCTCAAAACAGTTCACAAGCAGGGTCCGAAGCGGTAAGCTACTGTCAAAGTACATATTATGCATATCTCACGTATCCGTCCAGAATCTGGACACTCAGTACGTTGTTGGCCTCGCCACGAATGTTTCGACCCAATTTATTTCTGTTGGAGGAGACTTTTTTGATGCTCTTCTTGATACCGCCAACTTTCTAGCAGGCGTCGACGCTCCTCCCTATGTCCTCTCGACTAGTTACGGAGACAATGAGGACGCAATATCGCAGCGTTTAGCTATGTACGTCTCTGTGACTCTCATTTCTCAGCAAACCTAACGTTTACGGATTAGCAACATCTGCAATGCATATGCTCAACTCGGCGCTCGTGGTATATCTGTTCTGTTCTCATCTGGGGATGGGGGTGTTTCGGGTAATAAAAATTCGGAATGCACGTCCTTTGTGCCCACGTTCCCTTCCGGTTGTCCCTAGTAAGTGCTATGCAACTTGTTATTTCTGCATCTGACACATTGGCATCAGCATTACTTCCGTTGGTGCCACTACACAGCTTCCTACCGAGATTGGTGCAGATTTCTCCAGTGGTGGTTTCTCTAACTACTGGGGTACACCATCTTACCAGACCACTGCTGTCTCTGCCTATCTCGACAAGCTTGGTTCCAACAACACAGGCCTCTTCAACGCATCTGGCCGCGCTTACCCCGATGTCTCTGCATACGGCACAAACTTCGAGATCTACAACGAAGGCAATCTGCTCATCACGTCAGGCACAAGCTGCTCGACGCCGACTTTTGCCAGCATTGTTGCTCTCCTGAACGACCAGCTTACTACAGCTGGGAAGAGCCCACTCGGATTCTTGAACCCTTTGCTTTACTCGAACCTTTCCTCCAGTCTCACTGATATCGTAGACGGCAACAACCTTGCTTGCAGCAATGGCACAACTGGATTTTATGCTACAGAGGGCTGGGATCCGGTACGTTCAGCTCGTTGTATGCAATCATATAGTACGGAATTGATCGACACCGGCAGGTTACTGGCCTTGGGACTCCTAACTTCACTGCTCTGGCCACCGCCCTTGGGTTGTGATAGTGCTTCCTCAAATCGTAGCAGTCGCTTTCTTCGCACTTCTTACATGCTATCTATATATTTGCTAGCTTTTACGCAGGTTTTCATATTTATGGGCTGGACTTTGCGCGTATCATATACCACACACCAGATCAACTGTCCTCACGTATCGCGGAAACTATTGCTAAAGCTTTTGTAGGCTGCTAATTCTGAGGTCACTTGTCTGTGCTGTGGGAACGCTTATCGACTCGAGCGCGGACCAGGTGGTGGAATGTCTGAGTAATTATTATCTGCATTTTCCGAACGCGGGTGGGCTACATCTTTCTCCATGGAGGATATGGTACCCATCCGGGCCTGGTAGCCCGTGCTTAACACGGAACACGACGTGCGATGCCGTTAGATGTTAGCGGCTCGTGCCTCTCGTTCCGTCGCGTACTAAGCTCATGAGGCTATCTCTGACACAAAAATTCAGCCTGCGCATTGCTCTTGTGCAAGATGACACGCGTGGATTCTTTACGACGTGAGCGACCCTCTCAATGTCAACCAAGGTGTCCACATTCCCAAATCAGAGACGTGTTTGTTTGGCTTGTATTCCTGTGTGCGTGTGACTCGAAGGCGTTTACGGTCACCAGCCTGCTGGCTGATTGAACACGGGGTTCCCTAAGCAAATGGCATCTTGAGCGCAGGTGATTCTGTTTTTGAATATTCGACCAACGGGAACTAGATCATGAGGACGCTTTCGTACTACATCCAAGCAGTCCTCATCGAATACGTACACTTTGTCCACAATCACGTATGTGCAAGTCAAGTATATCGTGGATTGTGTTATATCTGATTATGCTCTTTCCGTAGATTTCCGAATCCCAACCAAGATATACCAAAGGTCCTATTGTACACAACTAATTGTACCTGCGATAGACATTTCTGTAACGGTTCCGACTCGATATAAACTCAGTGATCAGTGTTGACGGAGGATTTGATCCTCAAAATCCTGATTTCGTCGGCGCAGAAGCCGTACATCCCGGTGTCAATGATCTTCTTGTGCTGGAGTACTAATGTAATCGCAGAACCTGGTCATTCAGTACACAGTGGACCTTGCAACGGATGTCCCAGTGACCTTCATTCCGATCGGAGATGAAGCATTTTGGATGGACTGTTGGATACCGCATTGTATATTCTCAGCCAGACCTCGCCACCGTAGGTTGTCTCTAACAGCTATTGCGACGATGAATATCTAATCTCGGAGAAAATGGTAAACTGCACAGACTCACTCTTTAGTACACATTTGTTGATTGATGTTTGGCGATCTCTAGTGCAATGCTTATGCCCAACTTGGTGCCGGCTGCGTCTCGATACCCTTCTCATCCAGAGACGGCGGCGTTTCGGGAAATCAAAACTCGGGCTGCAACTTGGGCTGTACAACCTTTGTTTCCACTTTCCCTTGAACTTGCCCTTCGTGAGTACCAATTTCTGCGGCGGATCTCAGAGTGGCGCTCATCATATTATACCATCACCAGCGTAGGTGCCACTACCGACGTGGTCGATGAACATGGGGTGAATTTCTCTTGAGGGGGTGCTCAAATCATTTTTCTAGACCTGAATATCAAAATACCGCAGTATCCCAGTATATCACTCTCCTCGACAGCAACAATAGAGGACATTATAGTACTTCAGGGCGCGGATATTCGGACGTTGCTGCTTACGACGTGAACTTTGACGTGGCCATCAATAATGTGCCGTATCCGTTCCGCGGCACTAGCTGCAGGGTACCGACGTTCGCAGGCATTGCTGCTCTCCTCGATGATCAGCTGATATCCGCGGACCAGCCTGTTCTTGGATTTTGAATCCTTGGTTGTATTCGCAAGAAGTGTCAGGCTTCAAAGACATTGTGATGAGCAACAGTCGAGCATGCAACAATAACATTGATTTTGACGCTGCTATTGGCTGGGACTCAGTGAGCCATCTCTTTGTATGGAGGAGTGTCTGACGTGTCGGACTAACTCATCTTACTAGTAACTGGTCAAGTTGCTCCCAGTTCGCTAGATTGAAATCGATTGGTGTCATTTTGCATGACAAGCCTGAATGCCGTCGGATATGTTGGCGCTATGATCCCAATTATATGCTAGAAATGGTTTTCCAGAGGAAAAGATGCACATATCCTTGTGGCCACAAGATAGCCCATTGAGTTGCATTCGTGTACGTCCACTTGAATTCGCAGAGTTGAAGCTTTTGAACTGGATCCCTATGAAGTTTTCTCGCGACCTTCTGGGCCTCCATTTTGCGCAAAACTATGATTATGATATTTAATTATTCAACATCGTACCCTTATGACAACGTAACACGCAACGTGTGCTGCTATCTCGACTGTTATCTTATTGTATGTGCTCGCGCATGTTCCTTCGGCTTGCGATCACCGTCTCGAGGCGTGAGGCCAGAATCGGGAACTTAATTACCGTCGAGCAGCTGATTGGCTTCTTTCTCCATGAGACAGGTTAGCCCTCAAGAATGGTCTGCAAGACGTTGATACTTGAATGGCATCATTGCGGTGCTCATCTTCTTCTATGCGATGCAGTATTCACAATGATCCTTGAATATTACTCAGGCGGGTGCGTCACGAGGTGATAGAAGCTGCAAGAGTGTGTGAGAAGGGTGTTCTCCAGATTTTTCGGGCGAGCGAGCCATGTGTTCTCCTGATGCCAAGGCCCTCGCTGCCCTCTGTTTTTACTGGAATCAGTGGTCTCCAGATGCCGCCGTGGTCACTCCGCTGGGTTCGCGATGAACTTGTTCGACATCGGATATACGGGAGTAATGCGGGGACCCTAGTTGCTTTCTTCGATTCATGCACACACGGCATACCGGCTCCGCATCCTCAAACTCGACCCTGTACGCGAGCCTCGGTGGGATTATACAGTGCAATGAGCCCATTGATATAAAGCTTATATGCGAGTCGGCGTCGACTCAGTGGACATCCGACTTGCTTGGAGGAGATCCGAAGCATGTTACCCACCTCGCTCGTATTCGCTGCAGTTTCTGGACTCGTGCTGGGATCGCCGTTCTCACGCAGCCTGCAGGTGCATGAGAGCAGATCTAGTATTCCCAGCGGGTACTCCTTGAGTGGGCCTGCGCCTGCTAACTCTGTCTTGAAGTTGCGCATCGCACTCGTTCAAAATGATCTTGATGGACTTGTGAATGTGCTGCAGGAGGTCAGCGATCCGACGAACGCGAACTATGGCAACCATCTTTCCAAATCGGAGGTCTGTTTTTTTTTTGACATCTGGTCGTTGATCCACGCTGAATGTACCGAATATGTGTAGGTAGAGACCTATGTTTCGCCCACGTCCGACAGTGTCTCTGCCGTGAATACATGGCTCAGTGAGAACGGACTCACTCCATCTGTCCTCTCTCCGGCCGGGGACTGGCTTGGTGTTGAGGTCACAGTCAATCAAGCCAACAGCCTTTTTGGCGCCGACTATTCTATCTTTGAGCACTCGGTTACCGGACTGCAAACTGTCCGCACGCTTTCGTATTCGGTCCCGAACGACCTTGCGGAATATATCAACCTTGTGCACCCCACAATATCGTCAGTACACACTTTACTGATATTGATCTGTCACCACTGAGCGGTGCCCTCTTACCAGGTTTCCAAATCCGTACGGAAATGCGCCAAATCTTTTCGCATCAAAGTCAAGACGTTCGACGCCGTCCGCTGAGAGAAGATCCAGCGCCGAGACTGCGGCTTCCCCTTGTGGGACAGGCACACCAGGCATTACGCCTGCGTGCTTGCAATACCTATATGGGATTCCTAGCGCACCAGCCACTAGTCCCTACTCTAGCCTTGCGGTCACTGAGTATGAATATGAATGGGCAAGCTACGCTGATCTAGAGGTTGGTTTCATACCTATATACATCGATCTACATACTTTGACACGATTTGTCGCAGACATTCTTGCAGGACTACCGGCCGGATATGAATCCATCCACCACCTTTACCGTGCAGAGCGTGGATAACGGAACCGATTCTCAAAGTCCCGGTGATGCTGGTTTGGAGGCGGTGCGTCCTCATACTGCGTGCTAAATTCTGCAATAGCTTATGAGAGAGCAGAACCTTGACATACAATACACTGTGGGCCTTGCCACAGATATCCCTGTTACTATGGTGACTGTTGGTGGTGATGATTTTCTGCAAAGCTTGCTCGACACGGCTCTATTCTTGCTGAACGAGCCGAATCCTCCGCAAGTAGTCTCCACCAGCTATGGGGATGACGAGTATTTGGTCTCAGAAAAAATGGCGAAGTGGGTTTTCATATAAATTTTCAATACTACCAGCTTGACACGAGAATCAGCACTATATGCAACACGTACGCCCAACTTGGAGCACGAGGCGTTTCTTTAATATTCTCGTCTGGAGACGGCGGTGTTTCCGGCAATCACTTCTCAGAATGCACTACGTTCATCCCGACATTTCCTTCAACTTGTCCTTAGTGAGTCTTGCTCAATTGGATTGTTTTTGACGCTCATAAATACCTCAGTATCACGACTGTCGGTGCCACTACGATCGTTGACGACGAGACAGCAGTCGATTTCTCTGGGGGCGGATTCTCGAACTACTTTCCTAGGCCCTATTACCAAGATGGCGCCGTGGCCGAATACCTGATTTTCCTCGGGGATAACAACACGGGATTATATAACGCTTCCGGACGCGGGTACCCTGACGTCGCTGCATACGGCGTGAATTTTGATATCGTAATTGATACTTACACGGCCGAAGTTAGTGGCACAAGCTGCTCGGCCCCGACTTTCGCAAGTATTATCGCGCTTCTCAATGATCAGCTGCTTGCTGCCCATCGGCCGGTGCTGGGATTCCTGAATCCACTGCTGTATGCATCGGGGAACGAAGCATTCAAAGATATCACGACCGGAAACAACAGAGCATGCACGAACAACACTGGATTCGACGCTACAATTGGTTGGGATCCGGTATGTCCGCATATTCATTGCGATGGGAATATCATTCATCGGCTCGCCACAGGTAACTGGGCTTGGTACACCTAAATTCTCTGGTTTGCAATTGGCCAATGGGCTGTAACTGCACGCGTCGCAGGGAACGTGTTGAAAGTGAGACAGACAATCTGATTGGGAAACTAGTATACTGGATTGTATGGGAACAATCAAATGGGTCAATGAAAAATGGGTATTCTGGATGGAATTAGCTTTCACTCTTCATCAACAAGCCCGACTGCATTTTTCAAACGCACAAAGTCAGGTGTTCCCAAGCCAGTAACCTGTGCAAGCGTAAGTGTGTAAAGCTCCAGGATAGTAGACCTATTATTACGAACCGGATCCCAGCCGACGGTAGCATAAAAGCCTGTGCTGTTCCCGCACCCAATGTTATAGCCAGCGACAACGTCTGTTAAGGCCGAGACACCCTTTGTATATAAGAAGGGGTTGAGAAAGCCAAGCACCGGCTTCCCCGCAGCAATAAGCTGATCGTTGAGTAACGCGACGATACTAGCGAACGTCGGTGATGCACAGCTCGTGCCATAGATCTGACGCACTTCTCCATCGAGGACGATCTCAAAGTCGACCGCGTACGTCGCGAGATCAGGAAATGCACGCCCGGAGATGTTATACATGCCTGTATTGTTGTTACCGAGGAGCCGAAGGTAAGCTGAAACAGCGTCAGACTGATAGTCGGGTCTGCCCCAGTAGTTGGAGAACCCCCCGCCGGAGAAATTTGCAGCTTGTTGTGGGAAACCAACTGTTCCGCCAATGGAGGTCACACTAAGAGCCGTGGATGTCAGGTGCACGACGCGGAAGATGTATAGGAACTCACAAGGGACAGCCGGAGGGAAATGTGGGGACAAACCCGGTGCACGAGGAGTTAGGATACAGGCCGGTGACGCCGCCGTCGCCTGAACCGAACAACACGGAGGTGCCACGGGCTCCAAGCTGAGCATACGTATTGCACAGTCTGCTGCAGGACACATTGCTTCAGCAAAGCAACAAAGTATGTCTGGTGAATGGCGCTTACTAAGCCAATTTCTGCGATACGAGATTCTCGTCATATCCGTAGCTATCGCTTATGACCTGAGGCGGGGACTGTTGTGCTAGCAGGAAGATTGCGGTATTCAAAAGTGCCTCAGGAAAGTCGAATCCTCCTACTGAGATGAAAGTGATCGGCACGTCAGTTGCGAGGCCCACCGTATATTGGGTGTCAAGATTCTGGAGAAGTCACGACCAAGTTTTCATTTGAGACAAACATGATTTTGAGGTGACAGAATAACACGTACCGCTTCTGAACTGACATTTACGTTCTGAGGATCGGTGCCATTGTCAATGCTCTGAAATGCGTATGTAGTCGAGGGGTTCATGTCAGGACGGTATATTTCCAAGAATGTCTGTTTAGTTTGGGTGTAAGTTTTCAACTGCTACTAGGTTTATTGGCGGAGCTACCTTCAAGTCTGTGCGATTGGCCCAGAAATTGACGTAAGCTGGGACGCCGAGCTTACTCGAGTTCCCAACAGCCGGTGTAGATGGTATGTTGTATAGATACTGCAGGCATGCAGGATCTATCGAGGATGAATTTGCACAAGGAGTCGACGTTGTATTCAACAGCCAATCCATAGTGGAGCGTCCCATCTTAGGACCGTTTTCATAGGGGTGCGGAAATCTATCAAGCCAATATAAGAGACCAATCTGTACTCTCGCAGGCAAAATCCATCCTCACGTTACAGTTGGATGGATTAAGTCAAGATGGTCCAACAGATCTGTGGGAATCGAGTATCCCAATGTTCGTGTTGTCTGTATACCAGAATCGGTGTGTGTAAAGATTGAGAAATTTGCGTCTAGGAGAGTGTTGGCTTCTTCCACCGGGACTTGGATTTCAACCCAATCTCCCGCCGGAGAGAGAACGGAACTTGTGAGGTTGTTCTCACCAAGCCAAGTCTGAACAGCCGTAATACTTTCCGACAATGGGGAAACAAACTCCTCAACCTGCAATAAAAGATTTCGTTGACTTCAATCCAATCCCAGCATCTCAATCAACTTGGCTTGCCTCTTTTTTTGTCAAATATTGACCATATCTGGGACTCGACGGAGTACTGACATCATAGAGCTCATCAATCAGACCTGAAATGTTACTTTGAGTGAGAGCAAGACGAAGTGTAAGGACAGATTCGGGTAGTGCCGGACGAGTCAAGACGTAGCCAGCTGGTGCGTCTCCCAACACTTCATGCTGTTGTAGTACCCTAGGCGGTCGGGTGCCAAGAGCTTGCACTAAAGACGCTGCTACAAAAAGCGCAAGAAACATGAGAGTACTTGGAGAGACGATCTGGGTCACTGCCAGCAGTGACACACCATGCAATAAATATGCGTGACACCACATGTGTAGAGCCCTCAAGCCTCAGGCTTTCAGGAGCCACCCTGAACTCCGCATCATCATAAAGAAGACAAAGAAGTCGCGAAGGAAGTGACTCGTCTCATTGTGTTTCCATGCTGCGTTGATCCGCCTGTCGCCTGTGTGACATATTGTCGACGTGCCGCTATTGCATGCCGTTATCAAGTTCGGCCGCACTGCGTATTCTCATGTCGTCATGAGTCGTGACAGAAACTCTGATCGTCATGCTACTGACTCAATGGTTGAGAACTAATGAGATGCGGTTACTTAAAACGACTAACAGCAAGAACAACTCAAGTAGTATCATTTCAGCTTCAGACAGGATTGAACTCACCTGCAACGATTCCGACGCTGCGCATTGTCGTCTGAAGCAAGAGAGGCAGACCGGCGTCACGGCAAACTATATCTTCTCTTGAAGGGTTTCGCTGGCGGTTTGTTTTCTGGCGCAACGGCACCGTTCTGTCTTCACGCGCCGCATTCTGGCCGTCGCGCCGTCCTCGTCACCTTTCGCGGACACGCGAGCTGTCGCCGCCCCCTTTCTACGCACTGGACAGTGCGGGCCGGGTGGCCTTCGTTCGAGCTCTCATCACCGCGAGCGCGACGCGCGCTTCCACGTGCAGGACTGCCCAGATCGGGGCGCTGAGGTAAGCGACCGTGAATCTTCCTGGAATCAGCCCAACTTACAACGTTACGTAGGTTTGGGCGTGTATCTTTCACACCGCTCGATTCTCCGAGACAGACTTGGGAACTCTGCGTGCCGGGCGGACATGAAGACGAACGTTCTCTCGCCGTAAATGTCACTCAGATATCACCCGCTCGACTCATGACTAAGACAACTCGCCTCGGACAGTCAGGACAGTCATGTTGTGCCTCTGGCTATCGAGCTATGCATGAGCAGGATACCGACTTAAACCCGCTCATTGTCACCAGGTCGAAATATTCGGGCACATTACGCTTTGACGTGGGATCTCGGGGGTCCGGATGCCAGTAGTGTTGTCCCATAAATCTCTACAAGACATGGCTCGTAAGGGCTACTAGCACAATGCGCTCAATCAACTTGCAGCTTGGAGGGGCTTTGCTGAGATTGGTGCTGCTGTTCGTACCGCACACTTTCGTGGGCGCTCGATCCTCCGTAGTTTCACTCTCGTATGGGTCGTTTGAAGGTACAACTACAGGAAATGTGACTTCATTTCTCGGAATGCCCTATGCACAACCACCGTAAGCTTACCTACTCATAACATATATGATCTTGACATGCACACCATCTTCTATCTAGGCTTGGAAATTTGCGGTTTGCAAAGCCGCAAGCGCCGCTACCTTTCTCGGGCGTGCAGCAAGCAATGAGTTACGGAGCAGCATGCTCTCAGCAAGCTGGCTTTACCCCTCCTGGTCTCCCCTTTACTTTCCCTACCTCAGCCCCGCTCGCAAACATCTCTGAGGATTGTGAGCGAGACCAAATATCGTATGATATTGGCACTGACGATCACGTTATTACAGGTCTCTTCGTCAATGTTTTAAAGCCTGCCTTTGCCACTGCTGAAGATGAGCTTCCGGTGCTTTTTGTGAGTGATTGCCTCTGGTAGCATGTAGCGATATTCATCATGAAATATGTTCAACCCAGTGGCTTTATGGAGGTGCTTTTTGCCAGTTTGGAGAATAATGTGGGGCCTGTCTTGCTGATTTGTATCGCTCACTAGGTGCTTTCTCTTATGGTGACTCGTCGCTCAACACTGGTGACGTTTTGGTCGAGCGATCCATCGCCCTCGAGGAACCTATGATTTTTGTTTCTATAAACTATCGTCTCAATGGTCAGCTTTTTACCATGTGTAGAAAATAAGCTGGGTCGCTACTAATGTCCATTGTCAGCGTTCGGCTTCTTGGCAAGCCAGGAGGTATTGGACGCTGGTCTTACTAATATAGGCCTTCGAGACCGTGTGTTTATCCATATTGTCTGTGTCACTGGTTTTCATGTTTGGACTTCCAGAGCGTTTTGCATTGCAGTGGGTTAAACAGTACATATCCGCGTTCGGAGGCGATCCTGAGAAAGTTACAATGTAAGTAGTATTATGAGAACGTTTCTCGAACGATGGAAGCAGAATAGCTCTACAGATGGGGAGAGAGTGCAGGCTCTTTCTCGGTCGGGCTACATATGGTTCTCAATGACGGTGACCCAGAGGGTCTCTTTCGCGCAGCTGTTATGGTGAACCTCCTCGCCTCCTCCAACAACATGTGTTCGCTAATTACAATGCTTCAGGAATCTGGATCAGCGTACGCCTTAAGGAATGTTTCAGCCGCCCAGCAATATTATGACTTCCTTGTGGAGTATACGGACTGTACAGAACAGGCAGATACGCTGAACTGTCTGCGGCAGGCACCATACGAACAGATAGTGGCTGCTGTAAACTTGACACCGACTGATTTCAGTTACACCGGTCACAATCTAGCATGGCAACCAAGACTTGACGGAGACTTATTCGTCCGAAACCCTCAGCACTCTGTACTCATGGGATTATATGCAAAAGCGAGTCGGACGCATTGTCTCATGCGGCGCAGCTGATAATTTCGACGTCCAGGTTCCGATAATCTCGGGCGACTGCGATGATGAGGGTACGTTGTTTTCTTGTGGCAACACGAATATAACGTCAGTGCTACCTTGGGGACCCCGACCAATTGCTTACACTTGCTTTTCCTTTCAGGACAAACCCTGAATTTCTGAGCTACATTCAATCCAAGTAACTATCATCTGTCAAATGATGACTGAGACCTTACTGACAAATGTGCCTGTCAGCTATTTTCCTGATGCGAGCGCAGCCGAAGTTGCGGCAGTCGGGATGGCATATCCACCAGATCCAATTTTGGTATATTGAAGCTTTGCTTCGTTTGAGTAGTCTGTTTACATATTCGCTGGACAACAGGGATCACCCTTCGGGACCGGAGATGCCAACGAGATTACGTGCGTGGGACTGACTTGAACCTATGCCTAACTTTAACACATCTTGACCAGTTCGCAATACAAACGGATCGCAGCGTTCACTGGTGACTGGCAGTTTGAAGCGCCGCGACGGCTGACACTTGGCGTAATGTCGCAAACCCAGGACACTTGGGCATACTGTAAGGCTTTCCTCCATGGCCTCCAGCTCATGGACGTTTAATTTGCTGTTCGTTTCAGTGTATAAAAGGGGTAAATCCGACCCTTACCTGGGCGCATACCACTCGTCCGATTTACCCGAGTTCTTCAGCAATATTGATTTCATTGGAACAGACGCACTCAGTATGTCTGTGCTTCGCACGGTCATCAGTTCCTAATCCAATTATTTTTCCCGGCTCCCGTCAACCCGTAGTCAATTTCGTGGTTAACCTAAATCCAAACGCACCTCCAGGGCTCGTTTCCGGGATAAGTCATCTCTCTGGCGTGAATTGGCCGCAATGGGGCTCGGATGTCGCAGCACCGCCTTTGCTGACCTTCCAGGACCCGGCACCAACGTTCAACTTCACCACTGACAATTTCCGCTGGGGTTCTACAGCTCTTCTTACCAGTCTTTCCTTACAGATGCCTTGAATTCGGTTTTGAAGCGTTTCATACTGCGTTTCGTACGATTCTACAATACATGATGTGTTTTCCACTCTAGCAAAGAGAATGTGCACGTAGAGTCCCTGGTTAACACTATGACTCTGATATACACAAGATGTACATCGGGCGAGTCTTGTATAATTCCCAAATGATCAATGCCAGGCACACTAAGTGTGAATCCAGCCGGTACGCCATCTCAGACCTCGCGGATCAGTATGCTCAGATGCAGCGGCGGACTAGAAACAACTGTGTAAAATAAAGGATAGTATATGATGTACAACATGGGGCATATAGGCTACTGTTTTGTCAAAAGAACGCAGACTGTGGGGAGCTAGTCGCACGCTGCCACAAATTATCTCCACACAGGCTGCACACTGGCTCAAATTCAGACAACCGCATAGAATTTAAGCGAGTGATCTTCGCCCATAGTCATAGGGACCAAAAGTACACACTCACCTCGGCGAGAAGACTCCGAGCATCTTCAGTTTGCCACATCAAAGCTTTCTCAGTGCAAGTTATTCTCGGGAGAAACATGATAAACAAGCCATCGCCGATCTTTCACAGTCGCAGCTGCCAGCTGAGATAAACTGTTGTTTAGAAAGCTCAGAAAGCACCCCAAGACGGCGACCGTTCACAGTGCGTATAGGAGTGATTGATACTTTGGCCAAGTAGCGTTTCAAGTATGTTTTGCTATAAGAAGACGAGAAGTACATAGTGGTACTGGATCAAGGCTTCAGGATGATGTAGCAAGAACGTCAGAGACTGGGGTGATACACACGTCGGTTACGACTCGTTAGTACGATCGATAGTCACGGTATAGATGCCGTAACGGCGCGACGGCATGACAATGTGTCACGCCTTTCCCGCCGCTCTGTTCAGTGTCCAGTGTTCAGTATTCTTTCGGACCTCCACAACTCCTTCTAGGCTTCTATCACCTGCATATGCCATCCTACTGCCTATTTTAACGTCTGAGCAGCTTGTACGGAAGGTCATATTTCCATTGATTTAGGTCAGCATACTACTCTGCTCGCTCATCTCATAACTCAGCTGATATGATCGTCATTGGGGCAGCTCATAGGACTTTTTGACATATCTGCTACGCGGAATGGGTCGATGTTTAATGTATTTTGATCCTTTTCCCCGGCAGTCTCGCAGGCAATTGGTGTCACCTTATGGGACAGACGTTCAGTGGAGTTCTCTCGTTGCATCGAGCACTCCACACACATTGTAGCTGGTGTTGGATATGTGACATGCATCGGACTGGCAAGCATTCCTTAACTTTGATCATAAGATGTTGTGCACGAGGATGTCATAGATACATCTTTGTGCAAAGGCTACGGAATGACATTTGAATTGATCATACTAACATCAAGGTCAAGGTGGTGACAAAGGTGTTCAATGGCCACAGAAACAAAGAAAATGTGTCTTTCCCCTGCCGCAAAGAACGAAATCGCAAAATGAACCTGTTCGAAAGCAGTATTACAGATGAGACAACGTACCACCAAGAGTTGAGTACGAGTCCCCGGGTCCGTGTTCACACTGACTCGAAACCTGCGAGCCCCCTGGTACGAGGTCACGTACACGTGTGCGTTTATGTGTTCTCTTTTTCCGCCCATTCGAGTACATCCCAGTTGCAATCGACCAGCTGTGACTTTATAATGGCTTCTGTGAATGACCGGGCGAAAGTCGATGTGCCGGATCTCTCCCTGCATAGTATTCTGGACGGTAATATCAATAGCTTGGCCCGTGTATCCTCCAATAACAAACACAATGAGGATGACGCAAGCCATCCACTCGCAGAGTTGTGTGCCGAATGCGAAGGTATGTTGGTTATGACTAATTGTGATGGAGACAATTATGAAGTCTCTTCAGACCAACCCGCCCAGCTCCTGTGCGAGACATGTACGGACAGGTTCTGCGAAGTGTGTTTCGCGGTGTTGCATCGGAAAGGCGCACGCAGAGCGCACGTACCGACCTTTCTATATTCAAAGAGCAATGAGATATCCACTCCTGGCCCTCACGGAGATATGACAAGCGACGTGAATATGCGCGGGGGTGAGGTGAGTTAGCTTCATTCGATTGGTTTATGTATTGATCAAATCCGCTGAGCCTTACATTATGATCAGAAACGATCGAGCGATCACTTCTGTGTGGAAGTGGAGCGAGCATTAGCCCAGATAGCTCTCATAACTACCCCAGCCAAAGAACTCAATTCCGCACCGCGAGAATGGTTCGTCGAACGCTCGAAGTATATTCCTATGCGTCTGACCGAGGATGAGCGCAAATACCTGCATCTGGTTGAAGCCGCCCTCAACGTCTCGGAATATACAGAGAAGGTTGATATTGAGCCTGAGAGCGAGTCTTCGCCCAAGGCAAAGCGAATTGTGCACCAGATTCGCGAGCTGTGTGCTACTATGTCTGGACTGGTCGTCTCGTTGAATTACAAACAGGGTCAAGCATTGATTGCAGATCGCGACTTCAAGGCGAATGAAAACTTCTTTCAACAAATATTTGAGATAGGCCGTCGTCACAAGATCATGAATCCTGACAAGATGCGCACCACATACGGCAAGCTGATGTATTTGCTGCAGGTCCGTACCGTCCCCTCCCAAAATCTAGATTGTACAAGCTAACCGTTGCATTAGGATAGCCAAACAGCTGAAGTGAAAGAGCTACTCGAGCTCAGCTGTATCAAGCCGATCATCACGGTTTATTCCGTTTTGGAAGAACATGACGCTCTTGAACTGCTCCGTGATGATCTCGTCCCCACCGCAACCAAGGCCATTGTTGCAGAAGGTCGCTCAATGGAGGAGATTCTAGCAGAAAGAGACGCAAAGGACATCGCGCTCGCGACTCTGGCATCACGCTACGAGCGAGAAGGCCTCAACCAGGAACGAATTCGGCAGTGCCTGTACAGTATTGCTGATAATTGTGGGTATTTGCGGGTCAACAGCGGCCCCTGCGAAAAGATGATCGAATACTTGGAGCGATATTTCCATCCAACAGAGGTCCTAGATGAGCAGAGCAGTCTCGCGATCGAGGATGGGACAGACGGGGCACGGTTGAGTCATGATCATGAGAAGCAGTATGCGTATGTTATTCAGAGTATGACGCTCTGGCGCGAGATATTGAACGGTACGCAATGGTCCGCCCCGGCGGTTTGTCTGACTGATCGGTTGTGTGCTGTAGACATGTTCCGTCTATGGACTCTAGTAGATGAAGACCTACTTTCCGAACGTGTACCCTACCGCTTGTGCGATACAGGGCAGGGTCTGAATCGTATGCAAGACGCACCAAAGACGACACGCATGATGCATATAATCGTAGCCAACGCAGAGAAGAATGTCGGCTCGTGGGTAGGCTCCTCTGCGGTTCATATGGCGGATGACAGTGTTCCCAACGCTTTGATGTTCATCGGTATGTGCTCACAGTGCCCTCCATCTGATTGACTTAGCTCCATTTGATGCTGACGACATACTACAGAGAAATATTCGCAGATATACCGCATCTTCCTCCCCGTCTGCAATACCCTCGAACAGATACCCAAGCTCGTAGAAGATCCGGATCTCAGCTATTACGTCGATAACAAGTTTGGTGGTGTTGAATCCCTGCGTCGGGAGATTCTCCGTGACTTCTTCCGCCATGCGTTTGACGGCTCGGGCGCAGGCAGCTATTTCGACGCAGGATCGTGCATAGATGGCCGTCTTACAAGCACATGGGAGTGGTGTTCCCTTCTGGAGAAGAAACGATATTACTCGATATTCTTGCTCACTGGTATGTTAGGTCTCCTTGGCTTCCTTGCGTTTGCTAGTCGCTCAAGCTCTTCAATAGGTTTCATCGGCTTTGATGGCGACTGGTGATATTATAGCATGTGATGGATGAATGCATGTTAGACATGGGGAGTATGCTGTGTACATTGCTACTAATTACGAGAGAGCATTGACAGAGAACATGTGTGGAGTTTGCACCAGATCTACGTACCAATATACATATATACTTCATGTTGGAAATAAAAGCAAGATTTGCTTATGAATAAATGAAAGCCTCTGGAGATCCCATGAGCTCCATTCAATTCTAAAGCGTTCAAAAGAGAAAAATAAATATTGAGACCCGTAGGTCTACCACTCCGGGAAAGCGTGTCATCCTTGTGCAGGGGCCATGCTAATCTTCTCTGTATCGTTCCAATTTTTTCGTATGTCACCCCGAAGGGGACATGCAGTGTTGGCGACGATCTGGCCCCAAGAACGCTCTTCTGCATTTTGTGCAACCCGCGAGTTGCTATGGCTGTTGACGCGCGCCACCAACTCGACAAATAAGGCTCGAGCTCGTAGCCTGAGACTCGCACCCATTGGGAGATTGGTCGAAAACTGCCAGAGGTAAGCGCAATTTTGACAAATTCTTATCGGCTGCACATAATGTACGGTCTATAATGCAAGCTGCACTTGAATGTTTGCGGTCAGTATCGGCACAAATCTGCTGACAACACGGTGAGTTATTGTATACCCTTTTTTTGTCGCTTCACGAGTCCTAATCGACCAATGCAGCCAACGACGTAGATATCTACACGTTCTCATTGGGGCAAGGGCGAGGAGGGAGCATGCCTGGGCGGGAGGACGAGGCCGTTGAGCTGGCCCACTGAAACAAGAGGGAGAATATGCATTGCGGGTGAAGCCGTGCAAAGCGGTTATATGCGCTCGAGGACCGAGCTGGTGCGGCCCCTGAACGCTGAGCATTCCAAAATTGCCGAATGCTTCAAAAGCCGTTGACAGGACGCATAAATCCTTTCTGACTTGCTTGCCTTAAATTTGCATGGGTCCATGGTTGCAAAGTCGTGCGGGTGCAGACGAGTCAGGGTTGAAGGTACACTGCAGCGGGCCTGGGGAGCACACCAGCTGAGCCGCTCATGGTCGTGCTTGTACCGTCCGTGACATATTGAACAACGTGTTTCGAAGCAGACCTGAACACAATCATAATGGGTGGGTAGGCCTAGGCTTAGGAAGGTGCAATGCTTCCGTACCGATCAGATCGTTCATCGGTGGCTAGTACGCACTAGCACTACTAGTGTCGGACTGTGAATACATATACGATATTCGGATGCATATGGTGGTGAGTTGTCAAATACATCTGCTTGTCCTGACTCCTTGTAAATCTCAGCTAGTAGAAGAGCTTAGTGAAGAAGATTCGTATGTAACTCACCGTGATCGATTGATCTCTCAAAGCCATTCAAGTCTTCTCACCGTTGCAAGTGGCACACCAGGAAGAGGTCCGGATGATATATATTCCACATAACTTCAAGTTTCCGCATAGCGCGGATTTTACAAGACACTGGATACAAGTACAGCTATAACTTCAGAGAGAACAGCAATCTAGAACAATCACCAGTGGCTACCGCCCTTGCCCTGACCATTTCCCTGGCCGTGACCTTGACCGCCTCCCTGACCTTTGCCCTGGCCTGGGCCGCCGCCCGGTCCGTGACCTTGGCCATTACCCGGGCCGCCACCCTGGCCATGTCCTTGACCGTTACCTGGGCCGCCACCCGGGCCATGTCCTTGACCGTTGCCTGGGCCACCACCCTGGCCGTGTCCTTGACCGTTACCCGGGCCACCACCCTGGCC